TTCTGGGTGCTGTTATCGACGGTGTTTCCCCCGATCTGAGCCATCTCCTCGGCAATGATCGCGACGAGCGCATTCGTGGGCTATGGAAGGATGCCTGCTGTCCCGCTGTCGATCTCGTAGCCTTCGCTCGCCACTTCGCCTGTCCGATGGCTTCGTCAAAGCCTCGCGCTATCGTTTCTGAGGACGTATACGCAGTCCTACCCTTTCACGAGCCAACCTTCGACGAGCATTTGTCGGACATCCGCGTTCCCACGTCGGAGGAGCAGGAGGGTCTTCTGGCCGGCGTACCCGCAAAATACGCTCGAGGGGTCCTTTTCGCCGACGTGCATCACTGGCACAACAACCGCAGCATTCTACCATCTCACCTTGGTGGCAAACCAGCTGAGAAGAAGTCGACGAATGCATGGCAGCGCAGCCGGCAGCTACGTAGCGAGCAGCGCTTCACGCACGGCCTTCAGCAGCAGGCGGCGACGCTGATGGGCACGGTCGGCCTGAAGCAGCTCGTCATTGCGCCTGCGGGCAACGGGTCCGACCAGCGCGTTGCGGTCAGCGACAAGCGAGCATCGGGACGGACTGCGATGACGCACGCAGCGAAAACCTCGCAGAAGACCGCGAAGGGCAAACCGCCCAAGATGTCGAAGAAAGAGCAGCTCTTGCTCGACATCCAGACGAAGAAGGACGCGGAGGGGCGGAAGACGTCCATCAAGAGCTGGAAGGCACATTTAGTGGCGATGGGAGCGTTGTCCGTGGATGGGAAGCTTGCCTATCTCGACCAGATCAACCGCAACAAGGAAGAAGAGGCCTGGTTAGGTACGGAACTCCGCGCGCTGCGTCTCGACCTTCTGCTACGCTCATGGATCAACGACCCGGCGCGCGACACTGACACGGCCCGCGACAAGTACACGACGCAAGCCATGCACATCATAGCCGACTTGTGTGGACGCAAGGTGCTCACGAAGGCGATTGCGGAGAAGATCAGCGGCGTACTTACGGTCCTCGGGTTCGGCGCGTACGCGAAAGACTTGCTGCCGGATGAGGAGAAGCTCGAGGACTTGAAGATGACGTTCAAATTCGTCGACTTGCTTGAGGCGAAGGGCACGCAATCTATCTTCCCCTGGATGCGCGTTCTGGAGGACCCGGTCGAGTGGCAGTTGCGGCTCTGGGGAGAGCACATGGACCGCAGTATTGATGCTGCGAGCGACCCCCGCGTGGGCTTCCGCCCCGATGCGTGGCAACGACGCGTCCTCGACGCTATCGACCGGAACTCTTCCTTGCTTGTCATCGGTCAGTACTCGACGATTTACCGTAGTGAAGTATGTTGATCTCCTCCATACAGCTCCGACGAGCTCGGGCAAGACGTTCATATCATATTACGCCATGGAGAAAGTCTTACGCGACAGCGACAACGGTATACTCGTTTACATTGCGCCAACGAAAGCTCTCGTCTCGCAAATTGCCGCTGAGGTTTACGGACGCTTCAAGAAGAATCTGAAATCCGGTTCACTATGGGCGATGCAGACTCGCGATTACCGCGTCCACGATCCGCAAAACTGCCAAATTCTCGTCACTGTGCCCGATATGCTAGCGATCATGTTGTTGAGTCCGCCTCTTGCGCGCTCGTGGACGCCCAGGATTAAGCGGTCAGTGGCGAAGTACGCCTTTCGCGTACAGTATACTTAAAGACGCTACAGGATCATACTGGACGAGATTCACTCCATAGGTCAGCAAGAGGGTGGCGCCGTCTGGGAGCAAATACTTCTTCTGGCACCTTGTCCGATCATGTGCGTGTCGCATCTCGTCTTACTTTACGTCGTGAGCTCACGCACTTCTAGCGGTCTTTCAGCTACCATCGGCAGTCCGGAAAAATTCAACGACTGGTTGGCCACGGTCCAGCGCGCACATGGCTACGAGCACGAGCTTGTCGAACATTCTCATCGGTACTCGCACCTGCGAAAGTACCGCTATATGCTGGCGAAAAGTCCGCCGCTGTTTGAAGGATTGCAATCTTACGAGACCTCTCACCGCGTTCGTTTCCTTCATCCCGCGTCGATTCTCGGTCACGGACTGCGCACGATGCCTCCGGACCTCGCCTTTGAAGCGTCGGACACGCTCTCGCTATACCACGCACTCGTCAAGCAGAGGAGCGTCATTAATCTCGATATCGACATCGACGACTTGAAGCCAGATACTTTCTTCAAGTCATGCAGAGGCTTCATCACTCAGAAGGATGTCCTTAGATACGAAGCGGCGCTCAAGGGGGTGTTGACGCAACTTATCGAGGCGTCTCACCACGGTGACGCAGCGTCTGCCCTGAGGCTCATTGCTCGGGAGTTGCAATCGTCCTTGGGACCTGAGGGTGACGCCGACGACGTCGCATTCGCTTCAAACGCCGGGCGCTTTCTGAGAAACATGGTGCATATGGTGTCTGATCTGCATGCCAGCGGTAGCCTTGTGAGTGAGCGTTGCCCGTCGGTCGCTATGCTGTGCTCATGTATTTGATAGCCTGCTATTGTCTTCAACTTCGACCGCTCGTACTGCGAAATCATCGCAATCGAACTGGTCAATAATCTCGAGCGTGCTGAGAGGACTTGGCGCCAAAAGTCGCCCGCTTGGAAGTCTCGCGTCGAGGAATGGGAGAAGTGGCAAGCGAGTGCGAAGGACAGACAACGACAGGAAACGCGAGCGAAGCGAAACGCCACGAAGGACGATGACGAACCCAGCGCGTCAACAAATACACATTCCTGGCAGACTTCCTTCGACCCCAAGGCACCATCGGAGGGCTTCACGTTCGCTGGTGTTCATGCGTACACCAAGGAGGAACTGGACGAAGACATAGGCGAAGTGGAATGGCGCTCGAGAGGCATCGCTCGTAGGATGCCCTGGATCTTCAAAGCCTTGCGCCGGGGAATTGCAGTTCACCATTCGGGTATGAACAAACATTATCGGACGCTTATCGAACGGTGAGTGGATCGACAAAGAACCCAATACGGTGTCTAACTATTCACCAGTCTCTTCCGCATCGGATATGTTCGTGTCATGATATCCACAGGCACGTCTGGCGCGAATGTCTAAAGCCATCTGAAACTGACTGCTTACACTCCAGGAACATTGGCTTTGGGAATCAATGCGCCAGCGAAGACGGCGGTGTTCGCGGGCGATAGTCCATTCTTGACTGCGTTGATGGTACGTGACTGTCGAAGAAGTAGATATTTCTGCTGAGCTGAGTTTCGTTATGAAGTACCGCCAATGTGCAGGACGTGCAGGACGACGAGGATACGACCTCTTTGGAAATGTGGTCTTCTATGGCCTTCCAGAGGAACGCGTGCAGCGCCTCATCCTCTCCAAGCTTCCTTCATTGGGCGGCACCTTCCCTGTGACGTCGACTATGTGCCTGCGTCTAGTCAACCTTCTTCATGGCTCTGGAAATGCGAGGGTTGCGGTGGACGCCATCCGTGGTTTGATGTCCCTACCTCATGTCACATTCTCCGCTGGCCCCGGACGGCACCAGCTCTTACATCATGTGCGATTCAGCTTCGATTATCTTCGGCGGGCGGGCCTCCTGGACGGCGAGGGCAAGCCCATGAACCTCTACGGAGTGGCCGCTCATCTATATGTGAGTAGAAGGTCACTAAACTGCTGTGATTTGCTCAAAGTCCATCTAGTACACGGAGCCCAGCAACTTTGCCCTTGTCGCGCTTCTGCGCAAGGGGACACTGCATGACATTGCTGCCCAGGCAAATTTCGAGGAAGCCAAGCGCGAGTTCATCATCCTGATGTGCCATCTCTTCGACCGCCGTTACCTGTCTCGCGTGTACACCAAGAAGGAGCATCTAGAGGACCTCTGCAGGCGGTACCCTTCCCGCATTGTATTGCCAGCGCTTCCCTCCGATGCCTTACGCGTTCTTCGGATGCACGACAAGGAGATCCTTAAAGTCTTCAAGGGTTACGCCGTCACGTTTGCTCAGGCGCAGATCGACAAGCTTCCTAGCGACGGAAGTCTACCCCTGAGTCATGTTCAGTACCTCGGAGACGGCACTCCTTGCCTCTTTAGAGGGTCGCTGCTGCAATCTGCTGTCCCGCGCGTCGTCCGCTCCTCGTTCGTTGCGACCTCGGGTCATGGAGATCAGTTTGACAGCGTGGGCGAGCTCTGCCGCACGGCGCGCGCGGGCGTTGATCTGCATGAGCACGGAATCCCTTCTATGGAGCGCTTCATACTCTCTGCAGACCCACGTCAATCGGACAGCATGGAGCATATCCTCAACGCCTACATCTACGACTTTTACACGCACGGGCAGACCTCCACTCTCGCTCAGGCGAACGGCATACGGCATGGCGACATTTGGTTCCTTCTCGAAGATTTTAATCTGACACTTCTTACGTTGAAGACGGCACTGCAACAGCTCCTGCAGGGCGGACGAGACGACGATATCACGGATGTTGTTGGTGCGGACCCGGCGGAGGATGATGGGGTAAATGAGGTCGAAGGCGAGGAGGAACTGAAGGACGATGACGAGACGCGTGACGAACAAGGGAGGAGTTCTCTCGACCGAAGGGTATCCCGGACTTTGACTGGAACGTGTACCGAATGGTCTCGAGTGCGCATGCGGACTTTTACGAGAAGTTCAAGGCGATGTGGGCGTAGTTGTGGTGTCGCGTCCTTTCCGACGTACTTGCATTACTATATCAATTGACTTTTTCATACTGCAAACGATGTTCTTCTCTTGCTGCTACTTTCCCGAACTTGAAGCAGATTGCACTCATCGTAGCGGAACGCTCGCGACATGCTGGTGTCTCGCAGGTGTCTCACGGTGAGTCAGTGCCGGTTGAGCTCGATCGAACACATGAGCCTTTGCGGAAGATGTCACAAAAAAGTTTATTAGACTTGGCGCTGACACCGTCCCCGCTCACCTCCCCAGGCCTTTCCTCGACCGTTTGGCGCGTATCTTTTGATTCCCTGGGCCGTTTAGGATGATTTAAAGTGTCCTGGATACCCAGAATAAGCCGCCGTAGCCTAATGGTTATGGCGTCGCCTTCCTACGGCGGCAATTACGTAATTGCAGAGGAATAAGGCGGAGGTTGCGAGTTCGAGTCTCGCCGGTGGTTCTTTGCATTTTTTACCAGATTGAGTAGATTTCTAGGATGAAGGTAGGTACACGCATGTCTGGTCAAAAAATGGGAACTTTTCATCGAGAGGGAGGTGCGCAAAAAGTTTTTCAATCGCTTGATGTTCGATCATGTTGAACTTTCGGAAAAACCCGGTCGGGGTTTCAATTAGGCTGCAGAGCGTCGGCAGGCTCTTTCTGCAAGCCATCCGGACATTTACAGCAGCTGTCGAGCCTTACTCATGCAGACCATGACACTTACCACGGAATGCTACCATTATTTCCGTTTCTCCATCTCCCCATTATGCACAGATGCATTGACCCTGCGAAAAGCCATCGAAGACGCGTTAGGGCAAACCTTCGGTGCCACCTGCGCTAAGAGCGCGGTAGACGTGCTCTGGATATCCGAGAATGGGGACGAGTGTGTCCTGAGGACCGCAGAAGCGTAAGCAGGACATCAGTTCAGTACTTCTGAGAACGGTCGTCTCATAATTATCAGGGATGCCAGCAGATTGCTCGCCGCTATGGCTACCTACGATGGCAGTCCTCGTCTAACGCTCATAAAAGAGTCTCCCTTTCTGCCGTCGCTTTTGTCACAAGGAGGCTTGTAGCGAGCATGTACCTTCAATCATCGTCTGCAAATTCTTTCAGGACTAACAAAGTCGAACTTCTCTGCCGCGAATTATTCCACTCCTGATTTTGGACGACAGCATACCCTTAAGACATTTTCACAGCAAGCTGGTGATTAAGCACAGTGACCACGGCCCCGTCCGAACGCTCCCGTTATCTCAAGAGCATCTCTTACTCGCCGCTGTCGCCTTTCTGCCGCCCTCGAAGTCCTTACCTCGTCCTTGTCTGTCTGCTCCACCGCCTCGCAGCTGCCCGCTGGTTATCAGCCATCGTCCAGTGCTAATCAGTCGAATCGCCACTTCGACATGGTCGCCGTGCACCACGCTGAGAAAGGCCCTGCTGTACTGCAGCCTGCCGAGCGTCATCGGTCTCATTCGGATGCACGAGCGTCCCGAGCCTTCTCGCATTTTACCGGTGAGAACTCCGTGCGCTGACTTGCGTCGATTCTCATCGCGTCCTGCAGGTCTTCCCGTCACACCGGCGCAAATGATCTAGGTTTCACAGAGGAGCCGTGAGAGCCCGCCATTGAGGGTAAGAGAGTCCGTGATTGGGTCGAATAGGCGAGGCGCAAATTTTGATCCGTCGTGCCACTGGTGACCTTGCGCGCTCCCGTGTCCTATTGAACAGCTACTACTGGACGGCATCTTGCCGCTCTACGATGGCACTGGGTGGCAGGACACTGACCAGGTCCTTCCGTCCCCAAAGCCACCGTCAAACCCGCTTGTTACGGATCTCGCAGGGTAGCAGGTAGGTGGTGGCGATCTGAATTACGTGCAGTCCTCGACACCACGCACCACAATTCTACTCCTATCGGCACGTAAAAGACGCATGATCGTCGGGCGACGAGCACGCTTGGCGGAATTTTGTGGTTCTGGCAACGGGCGACCTGGCGTAAGGTCGAGGTAAAGGTGCGTCCGCGAGCACTAAGGCGATATTCCCGCGCTACATACACGTCGAGCGACCCTAGCCCTCGGTCAGCCCTGAGTGAGCAGGACCCCTGATTATCGGTGGGGAGGTCTATGTCATGGTCCGCCAAATTTGCCCTTTTTTTGTCCGACATTTTTTGCGCAATCTGGGTCGTTTTGTCCGGCTTTTCCAGAGACATCCTTTGAATTTTGGGCCGGACCGGAGGTCCGGCCACCCCATATGGTAAGTCGGCAACCCCCGGGCACCCCGAGGACGTTGAGGGGGGTCCCAGAGGGGCGAACAGAGGGTAATCTGGAGATTTTGTCCGACATTCGCCAGAGACATGCTCCCGACCAACCCTCAATTTGTCCGGCTTTTCCAGAGACCTTCGACCTTCAAAAGGCCAAAATTTGTCCGACATTGACATATACCTCGCCGCTAATAAGCAGGGGTCCTGAGTGAGCCCGACACATTCCTCGGCTATGAGGGTGACGATCCTTCGGTAGCTTGCGCAGGCACAAGTAGGTTTGTACTTGTACACAGCACAGTCTAAGCCTCACGAGTCCGAGCGGCGCGGTTGAGCGCCCGCATGCCCCAACAGGCAAATGACGAACACCACGGACTTGCCCTCGAGGGCGGCTATGTGCCGCATCAACGCTGGCTGCTTATCGGCTCGAGGGCCCATGGGAAGCTCGGAGAGTTCGACGGCCGCCTCGCAATTCAGAACTCTCTGGTGTTGCGGATGTCGAGTTCTCCTTCTGGGCAGCCGCGCTCAGGCTCGTGGTGCCGTGCTCAGGCGTACGGTGCCTCGTTTGCGCCTCGTGAGAGGTGCATCACAGCTTCCCGGAGAACGCCCAGGTGGGAAAGATGAAGGGCAGTCCACGTCTGCAAAGAGGCGTTATTGCCACCGACCGTACTTCGCAGTGGCGGCTTCTGGCGTACACGGAGTTGCCGTAGGTGCGGTGGTCGCGGTGATCACCCAAACCGCCGTGGTGTTAGGCTCGAGAGCTTAGAGAATGATAATTATGCGGTACAACAACGACAGCAGAATAACAGCCACATGCAGAGAAAAGCAGGTAAATCTGAGCTCACGAGCGCGCCAGGCGCTCCTTTGCGTACTCAACGAAATCGTCGATGGTCGATGGCCAGGCCGCTAGTCTCGTGATCAGTTCAAAAATCAAGTCAAGAAAGCCGAATCGGTCACCTTCAAGATCGTACTTCTCAAACTTTGAATCAATTGTCCGAACGAACTCTAGGAACTATGACGGAAAAATCATTAGCACACCACAACATGCGCAGGAGCATAAATTGGGTACCATCTGCCATGTATCCTTGCTAATACCCTTGATGTTCTTCTCGTCCACAAACTCGAACCACATGTCCGTGAACTCGTCATTCCAGCGTCCTCGTCGCTCATGTCCACATCGTCGTCATCGTCCCTCCGACGTACGTGTGAGAGTGCGCCGCCTTGTAGACCGTGTGGGATGAGCAGCTGCCAAAACGCCTTCGCCATATCGGCGGCTGGCAACACCGAGTCAGTTCCGCAATTCCTGTACATTGATGCTTGGCATACGCACCAAGACTCCGCGCGCCTTCCTGGCGGGAGAATTCAAACGTGTACGCGTACACCTTGTTGAAGTACTGGGAGTCGGACCCGAGTCGATCGCGCAACTTCATCAGCGTGTTCTGCATCGCGGGAAGCTTGTCACAGCTGAAGTGCCTCGTCAGCATGTCTCGCACGTAGTGTAACGGGCCACGCACCCTAGCCGCTTCCATCCTTCTACCCAGCCCGTCTTGGACCATGAACCGAGCCGCGGTGCCTTGAGCTCGAACGCAACCGCCAGCAGGACTACATCCTCGGGATCGACGCTCAGGTCGGAACACAGCTTGATCGTCCCGTCCGGTCCGATCTCGTCGCCTTCTGATTCTGGCGTGGGCTTAGCATCGCAGCGGGGGTAGGAGCGCGGCGCACACACCCTTGTATCGCTCAAAGAGCTCCGAGATCTTGCTCGTGGACGCCGCGGGCTCCGTCCGCCGCGCAGACGCTGCGAGAGCTTGAGGGTCGCTGTAGTACGCGTCCCACAGCAACGTCCACGCGCTTGTACTTTGCTAGGAATTTCTGCGCGTCCTTTACGCTGCGACGATCGCTGTGATTAGAGCGCGCACGACGCTGGAATTGGATCACTCACGATGCGCCCGTGACCCCGCAGAACTGGGCCATGGCCTCCTCCATCTTCTTATCCACCATGTTTCTCTTATGCGGGGATGCAGCTGCTGGATGGACACGATGGGGGAAGACGCGATGATTAGGTCGATTGGGACTGTGATGCATTTATGAGGCGCACGTGGAGAGGGAATCGTCAGCCATGTTGGATCTCGCGCATTACGAATCATGTACGCACCAGGAAATTCCTGAATACGAGAGCGCTGAGGCCGCCGAGGAGAAGGAGAACTGCGAGGCCGAACGTCGTGGATGTTGAGGACAATGCGGCCTGTTCAGAGGAACGTGGTGCGCGGCCGCCCGGGATCCCCGTCCCGTTGCTCCGACAAGCTTTGCGCTTATTTGTGGCGCTCGTGTTCGCATGTTGATTGACCTTCACCGTTCAGATGCCGTCGAAAGCACACCTGCACGTGGCGTCCAAACGAGGTAAAGTGTCAAAGCGAATCAAAAGCTGCGGCCGGAGCTCGCGTGTCGCCCCGTAATCAGTCCGGAAAGTAAATGTGATATTCTTTTTACTCGTAAATTGGGTAGGGCACGGACACACCCGTGCCCAATTTAGTCCAAACGAAGTCCCTGCAAAGCTGCTGGAAAGTCCAGGGGAAGTCCCTCAATTTTCCTTCTCACTCTTCAGCTGGGCCTATTTCATGACTCAAATAAATTTTATTGACCTATGTAACACTCTATGTATCTTACAAGAATAAAAGCCAGCCATATTATAGAAGGGGTGACTTGCAGAGGGATGGTGTGTGGGTATAGGGGATAAGGCCTAGGGTCCGCGCCGTCGGGGTCGTGATGGTGACCCCAGCAGTCCGTCGTGGGCTAACGGGCGTTGGGTGGCCACGTCATCTGCGAATGAGCGGCGCTGTCAATAAGGGCGAGCGCGCGCCAGGCTAGCAAGGCGCGGGAGCCCCCTCGACGCGTCGGGTGACATCCTGGAGCCGACGGTAAGCGGGGGCGGGCTTTGTAGAGCACGCCCACGCACCTTGAAGATGCCTATGGGCGACGTCCGCCGACGGGGGGCGGGCTACCGCAGGGCTGAGGCCCGTCGGCAAACGGCGACGGGCGGGTGCAGCGGTGGTGGTCGCGGGTCAAGAAGGTCACGAGACTCCGTTGACGCTCCCAGTGCCCAAATTATCGACAAAATAACAGATAGAAAAAAGAAATTGAAGACTTTCCGGAGGCGCGGGGAGCTTCCCCATTTGGACGCACGTGCAGGTGTGCTTTTGACAAAGACTTCACCGTTC